ATAGACCCTTTTAAGCTGCCTTAAGTCCTTCCCCTGTAAGGCAAGGCAAGGCATAAGCAAACAAACACTAAGTAACCAGCAATAAAATCAATAAAACCAGTCTCCGTCTGGTACTTGGTGGCCCCTCACATTCTGCCTGGTTCTCCGGAAACTGCCCTTCTTCCACCAGTCCCTGTTTCTGCTGGTGGCATTGCCACCCATGCAGGCTCCCAGGACAGAAGACCTGAAGGCTCTGCTGACTCATGCACAACCCAGAGTTACCAAGTCTTGGAGCGCCTCCCTTCCCTAGGCTTCCAGAAGCTCTGTCTTCTTTCTAATCCATTCCCACTGTCTCTATCCCCTCTTGGAGCTTTGTGGTTTGATGATTTGTTTCTTTTTAAAAAATATCTAAAACTTTTTCTTATTACAAAAGAAATAGATATTCATTATAGGAAATTTAGAAAGTGCAGGTTGACAAAAAGAAAACAAAAACCATCTGTAATTTTATCAATGAGACATTTGGGTTAATCTTTTTTTCAGATTTTTTTTTCTGAATGTACAGACTTAAAAAAAAGAAAAGGAAAATAAAAAGCTCCAGGACAAGGGGCCTCTTTATTTCTTTACCAGTGTGTTTTCTTGGTCTTCCTGGTTCTGGGCTCCACTGATACAACCCCCTGGAGCTGCTGCAGGTGGGGGAAGCAGAGGCAAGCCCTCTGAGAGAGCCTGTGGCAGGGTTTAGGCAACCCACTGGGCTAAAGCTGGACTTCAGGATTTGGGGTTTCCAGGCTTGGGGCTTCCAGGTGGGGCTACTGACAACAACCGCTCCCTGGGGGAGCTTAAAAGTGCCTTCCCAGGCTTTAGTCCTGCTGTGGTTGGGCGGGGAAGGGAGTGGTTTTGTGCAATCATTCGGGACTGTTTGTTTAAGTGGGCAGGGATGGGTTTGGGAGAAACAACCCAGTTTTTGTCAGTATTTGAGCTGTTGGGAGCAATACATTTTGGAGACAGCTTTTCAATATGGGGAAGGCAGGCAGGATGGGTTACAAGGAATATGATGGAGGCCCCAAAGTTGAAAGCCTGGAGGGCCCAGGCAAGCACCTAACCCTGGGAGTGGTGGGCTGAGTAGGGGCTGTGAAGGAGTCGGCACTTGCCCAGCTAAAGAGGACCCCAAACTCAGGGCCTGGATTGCTGCAGGAATGTGGGCCCTGGATTGCCAGGCCCTCCAGTTTCCACAAGAAGCTAAAATGTGGATTTCTTTTTAGAAAATAAAGCTTCTGACTCTTTACATGTTGGCAACTAATTAGAGGAATTAAACCACTGTTGGGGTCAGAGCACGATTGCTGCTGCCAGGGTGCAACCTTCTGACTGGTATCCTCACCCTGGTCACCCTGCCTCGTTGACTTGGTGTTGCTTCCTCCCTCTGTCCCTCTTCAAGACCCTTGCTCATCTCACTTTATACCGTCCTGAAGCCATTTCTCAGCCTTCTTAATCTC